TGATGATGGTGGTGGTGATGGTGTTGGTGATGATGATGGTGGTGGTGATGATGGTGATGGTGACAGTGTTGGTGGTGGTGATGATGGTGATGATGGTATAGGTGATGATGGTGGTATTCGTGATGGTAATGATGATATCGTGAGGTGACAGTGTTGGTGGTGGTGATGATGGTGATGACAGTGTTGGTGATGCTGATGGCATCTCTCCATTCCTAGAATGCTGATAGGGAACTAATAAGGAAATGACTTCCCATCAAAACTCTCCACTTGCTATTTCTGGGGGAGCTGTATGGCATGTTAGAAAGAACACTAGACTAGCAGTGAGGACCCTTGGATTTCTAGTCCCTGGCTAGTCCTCGCCACTTATTAGCCCAGTGATTTAGGACAAATAACTCATGATAATAATACCAACTTCACAGAGCTGCAAGAGGATTAGATGGAGTAATATGTGAGAGCACTCTGAAAAGTAAAGAGCTGTTCAGATACAGGCACTAAATGTCAGAGCAACAAGCATTTATTAAGCACCTACTATATGCCAAGCACTGGGTGAAAACTAGTCCTTGTCCTCAGAGAGATTACCTTCTATCAGGAAAGGCAATATGTACATCTATGAAAATATACAAAATAAATACAAGGTAATTAGAGAGGGAAGGCCCTGGAAAAGGCTTGAGGTAGAAGATGTTATTTGAGCCAAGTGTAGAAAGAAACCAGATTCTAAGAGGTAGAGATGAGGAGGAAGGTCATGGCCATGCGAGTGGTAGGAGGAAGGGCAGTTTGGCTTGTCCACAGTGTGTATCAAGGAGAGTCACATGTGACAAAGCTGGACCCAGATGGGAAAGGGCTTTGAAAGCCAGGAGGAGGTGTTTATATTTGGTCCTTGAGGTAATAGAGAACCCCTGGAGCTTGGGTAGGGAGGTGATGGAGTCAAGTCTGTGATTAATGAAGATCACTCGGGCAGTTCTATGGACAACGGCTTAGAGATGGGAGACACGGCAGACAAGGAGACGCCAACCAGGAGGCTATGTAGGGGATCGGGTCCAGCCTTGACCTTGAGCCTTCACCATCACAGATAGAAATGTGGGTTGCTTTTAGGGGGGAGAGGTTCTTATATTCTCAGTCTCAGCCATTTCCAAAGCCACCAGGGCCTAGGTAACCTCCGCTCTGTGACATTTCTTTTTTTCTAGGAGTAGCCTAACCCCCCTTTCCATGTTTTACAGATCATCCAGCAGGCAGGACAGGTGTGGTTTCCAGACTCTGCCTTTAAAACTGCCCAGGTCATCAAGGATTTCAATCGGGAGAAATTGCCCCTGATGATCTTTGCCAACTGGAGAGGATTCTCCGGGGGCATGAAGGGTAAGGAGGGAAATAAAATGAGCAGGTCTAGACAAAGGTGTGAATGGCATCTTGGTGTAGAAGATGAAGCCCGGGGCCATAGGTCAAAAGGCCTGGATTTGAGTCCAGGCTCAGCCCTTATTTACTGTGGGACTTTGGGTAACTCAATTCATTTTTGCAAGCCTCAGTTTTCCCATCTGTAAAATGGGAATAATCATACCTGTTTGATCTACCTCCCAAGATTTTCATGAGAATCAAATAAGAGAATGTGTGTGCTTTATAACTACAAAGCATGAGGTGAATGGGAACTGGTGTTATTACAGTTAGGTTTAGGTCCCACTCTATCAATTAACAAGTATTTATTAAGCACCTACTATGTGCCAGGCGCTGGGGATACAAGTACAAAGGATGAAACAATCCCTGCCTTCAAAGGGTTTACGTTCTAACTTAACTCAAATGGTCTCATTCTGGAAACTTTAAGAAGGGATGATGATGATGATGATGATGGTGGTGGTGGTGGTGGTGGTGGTGGTGGTGGTGGTATGGTGATGCCGCCATTGGCCCAGGAATAATTTCCCATAGGCATTCCTATGTCTGTTCTTTTGTTTGGTCCTCCGTGAGGCAAGCAAGGCTGAGATGGCCTTCGTCTCACAGAGGAGGACCCTGAGGATGCTTACCACCAGTGAGCTGCAGGACGTGAGGCCAGAGTCAGAGAGAGGACTCCAGGCTCCTAACTCGTGTTCTTAGACTTCTCTGTCTCAGGAGCCTCCCTGTCCTCGGTGACTGACTAGGGCTCTGCCCAACATGGCAAAGAATGGTAGAGATAGAGAGGGTTTTTGTGGGGTCCTCCAAGGCAGCTGGGAATCATCATGGAAGAACCTTGGCTGTGTATCTGTGCATCACAAGACTCTGTTGTTCATAAAATGCTTCATTGACATAAGAGGAGAGTGAGCTTTAGGAAGGGAAGCCCCCTCCCCGCATTTAACAGCTAAGGAAGCAGACTCCCAGGTGCGGTGACTCCCCCAGAGTCACCCAGTTAATTAGTGGTTAGAGCTGGACTTCAGAGCCTGGGATCTGAGCTGTGGCTGGAAGGGACCTTAGGTGATCCCTAAATGCCCTGTCCCTCCAAATGTTAGCGTTGTGTTATTCTGCTGCAACAAAGTGGGGTGAGGATGGTGAGAAGATCGAACTGAGGCGTCCTGTTAGTTAATTATGTCTATGGGGGTGGGGTGTCGGGGATGGAGAGCCCTTCCTGTTGGAGGCCCCTCTCCAGCCTCCGAGGCCGCACTGCTCTTGATAACAAAGCCGGCCGGGCTGGGGGTGGGGGGCCCTTTGGTCTCCAGACATGTATGACCAGGTGTTGAAGTTTGGGGCCTACATAGTGGACGGCCTCAGGCAGTACAAGCAGCCTGTCCTCATCTACATCCCCCCATACGCTGAACTCCGTGGAGGCTCCTGGGTGGTCATTGAACCAACCATCAACCCTCTGTGCATGGAGATGTACGCAGACAAGGAGAGCAGGTGAGTACGTCCCTGGGGGCATCCCGGGCTTTTCCTCATGGCCTCCAGGCTCCGTCTCGGTTCTGACCCAAATAGCACCAAGCTTAAATTATTATCATGAGTGGGGATTGACTTCTTCAGACTACCCAGGCTGGTTGGTTCCATCACAAACAATATGGTATAGCATCAAGAGCCCTAGCTTGGAATCGGGAAACCTTGCTCTGACACGGATTATGGGACATCTTCTCTCTACTCAACATTAAACTTCTGGAAGACTGGGACCAAGTGTTGCTGAAACTAGGTTTCCTAGCATCTCCTATAGCCCTCTGTATGCATTAGATGCTTAATTAATGTTTTGGGTGTTTGTTTTTTTTTTAATATTTGAGTGGTCTCAGTTTCTTCTGGAAAATGAGGGAATGACATTCAGACTCCCTTCCGTCCTTAGCAGTCTATGTCCTAAGGTCCCTTTCGGCTCTGACATTTTATAATTCCAACTCTTTCTTCTTAACAGTAGGGACAGATGGCATGAAATGGCTGTAGGGGTTCACAGCACCACCATACTTACCTTCTGGCTTCCGTGGAGACTCCATAAGCACTTATTAAGCATCTACTGTTTGCAAGGCAGTGGGGACACAAAGGAACTCTTGGGCAGCAGTCCCTCTCCTTGACATTCTATAGGGAAGAAAACAATGGGTGCATATGTAAACACACACAAAGTGCGTACCCAGTAAACTCAAGGTAATTTGGAGGGAACAGAGACCCTGTGGCTGGTCATGGGACACCTGATGGAATTTGGCCTTCCACATTGTCTTCTCCTATTAGAATGTGGACTCCCTGAGGGCAGGGACTGTCTTTGCTTTTCTCTTTGTGCCCCAGTGCTTGGGTCATGCATAGGAAGCGTGTAATTGGTACTTTTTCATTCTTTCGTCTGACAGTCCTCGGAGAACACCTAACCCAACGCTCTTATTTGACACATGAAACAGCTGTGAGGTCTAGATCACATAACAGAGCCAGGATGTTCAATCACTGAGCATTTATTCACTGTCTCCAATGTGCCAAGCACAGTGCTAGGTGCTGGAGACGCAAGGACCAAAATGAAACCATTCCTTCACTCAGGGAGCTTATGTTAGAGTGAGAGAGGGATGAGATAACATGTCCATGTAGAAGAAATATGAGGCAGGTTAGGAAGGGAAGGCACCAGATGTTGGGGAGATCAGCACATGCTTCATGCAGAAGGTGCTACTTTGAGCTGAGTCTTGGTAGAAGCCAGAGATTCCAAGAGACAGAGGGGAAGAAGGAGAGCGTTCCAGTCATGGACGATGGCCATTGCAAAGGTGTGGTGGTGGGAAATAGGGTATCCAAGAAAGATAGCTGGGCTAGACCATAAAGTGCAGTCCAGAGAGTAGTGATACAGAAAAGATTGGAAGGTAGGTTGGGGCCAGGTTGTAAAGGACTTCAACCGCCTGTTTTATCCTAGAGGTAATAGGGAACCACAGAAGTTCATTGAGTTAGGGGAGTGCCATGGTCTAGCCTCAGACTTAAAGAAGCATCACTTTGGCAATTGTGTGGAGTTTGAGTTGGAATAGAGACTTGAGGCAGGGAGGCCAGTTAGGAGGTCATTAGACAGGAATTCAGACTGGAAGTGAAGAGAGCCTGAACAAAGATGGCAGGCGTGTATGTGGTGAGGACAGATGCAGAAATGTTAAGGTGAGATTTAGCCACTGATTGAACATGGCAGATGAGGGAGAGAAGGGAGCAGGGGAGAATGCTGAGATTATGAACCCAGGAGATGAGGAGGGTAGTGGCGCTCTTGATAGAGACACTTGGTAGAGGAGTGAGCTAAAGGGAAAATATGAGTCCTGTCTTGGACATGTTGAGTCCGAGACATCAAATTGGAAATATCCAATAGGTGACTGGAGTCAGGAGAAGGGACACTAGAGTATATACAGAGGTGACAGGTGAAGCCGTGGGAGCTGATGAGGTCACCAAGTGAGGAGTACAGAGGCCCCAGGACAGATCCTTGGGGACACCCCCATTTAGGGGGCGCGATATGGATGAAGGGCCAACCACAAGACTGAGAAGCTGTGAGACAAGTCGAGACCCAAGACAGCAACGTAGCAAGGACTTTCCCATTCTAATCCATGCTCCATCCGGCTGCCAGAGGGTTTCCTAAAACCCGGTCTGACCATGTCCCCTTCCCCCCAGGTCAATGAACTCTAGTGGCTGGGGCAAACATAAACCCCTCTGTTCGGCATTTCAGTCTCTTCTAACCTTTCCATCCCCCCCCCACACCCCCTGCAGTCTGGCCATAATGGTTCATATGCTGTTCTTCATCTGTGGCTCTCCAATTTCCCATCTCTGTGTCTTTGCCTTAGCTGTTCCCCATGTCTGAAGTGCACTCCCCCCTCGTCACTCCCTGGAATCCCTGGTTTCCTTCCTTCCTTCTTCACGTTCCCGCAGGAAATCTTTCCTGATCCTCCCATCTGCTCGGGGCCCTCCCTCCCCAAGTTACCTTGTTCTTCATTTTTAAAAATTCATCTTTGTCTGGACTACGTGTCTATATTGTCTCATTAACACTCATTAACAGTGTCTACTCCTCGGAGGCAGGGCCTGTTTTCACGTTCGTCTTTGCACCCTGGGTGCCCAGCCCAGAGCCCAGTACAGACAGATCCGTTAGTCACTTAATAAGTGCACATTGATATTGCTTGAAGAAAGAGGGTCTAGGAGGAGAGGGTAGGCGGCAGTGTCCAATGCAGAAGAGTCTGAGAAAGATGTGGACAGAGAAAAATTCTTTGATTTGACAATTGAGGGTTCCTGGATATCTCGAGAGAGCAGTTTCAGTCCACTGATGAGGCTGGAAGCCCGACTGCCAAAATCAAGAAGGGAGTGGGAGGATGGGCAGTGCGGTCACAAGTGTAGATGGCTTTCCTAGGGCCAGGCCCCAGGTCTCCTGCCTCCCAGGCTTGAACTCTTTCCACTGACCCCCACCGTCCCCACACGAGGCACCAGGTAGTAGGTGAGACAGCTGCCTGTAGTAACCCAGGCCCTGGCTCCTTGTTTTCCCAGAGGCGGGGTTTTGGAACCCGAAGGAACCGTGGAGATCAAGTTCCGGAAGAAAGACTTGGTAAAAACCATGAGGAGGATTGATAGTATTTACATGAAGCTGGTGGAACAGCTGGGTAAGAGGAGGGAGAACGGGCCCTTCTCTCCCTCCCTGCCTCCATCCTCCTCCTCTTCTCTTCCCTCCTTTCTTCCATCTCTCCCTTCCTTCCTCCCTCCACCCCCCTCCTTTCCTTCTCTCCCTTTCTCCCCTTTCCTTCCTTCTTCCTTCTATCCCTCCCTCTTTCTCTTTTTTCCTCCTTCCCTCTTTCCTTCCCTTCCTTCTTCCCTCCCTTTATCCCTCCTCCTTTCCTTCTCTCCATCTCCCTTTCTCCTCTTTTCTCCCTCCCTCCATTCTTCCCTCCTTCCCTCTATTTCCTCTTTCTCTACTCCCTCCTTTCCCTCTTTCTCCCCTTCCCTTCCTCCCTCCTTTTTTCCATCTTTCCCTTTTTCTTCTTTCCTCCCTCCTTCCTTCTCTCCCTCCATCTTTCTTTCCTTTCTTCCTTCTCTCTCCTTTCTTTCCTTCCTTCTCTTCCTCACCTTTTCTTTCATTTCTTCCC